TTTATATATATTTTTACATATATATTTACCATGTTCTGTTTAACATCTCTTAATAGGAATAGTAAGTATTCCTTGAATATGCCCTATAAAGAAATTAGGCATACAAGTGCATTTTAAGAACCCCTTCATAACATGAAACATAACCCTAAGCCTTTCGGAAGGTCCCTGTGGATGCAATGTGTTTTTGTTGAATGTTTTCTGATGAAAAAAGGTTGCTTATATTGCTGTATAAAACACTTAAGTCAGCATTCATTTCTTCTAACATTAGCTTTCACTTCTAATATTATCTGTCTACAGTACAGAAATCTATATTCACCTGGTTGAATTATTCACCTGACTAATTTTAAGCATCAACTGTAGAACAGGAGGTATTGCATTGTAAAAACTTGGATTTGTTCCAGAGACTATAAAGGCAATGTCTCCATTCTTAGCTTGGCAAGATATGCTACTCATGCAGGCTATTTTATTTTCATTTTTTTTTTTTTTAATTTTAAGTTGATGGAATGATACAACTTGCCCTTCTCCCATAGCATTTCAAGATAACTAACAAGAAGAAATAGCCCCTAGTTTATTTCTTTTTAGCGCAGGTATTTATCCAATGCATCAGCAGTAGCTTAGGCAAATGTAGTGAGGTGTGAGTATTAAATTGTGATAGGTACAAATGCCAATGAAAATAATAATAAATATGTGGCTAGTTAGACATATTCAGATTCCTTGTCCATTTTTTATACTAATTTATGATGTCTTTATACCAGCATAACCTGTTTTAGAGACCTGCATGTATCAACTTAAATCTGTTCACAGAAGTCTGACATAAGAAAGTGGTAAAATTGCCTGCTGCCTGGAATCATCCAGATTCTTCATTCTTTCTCTCTAACATCACGTTCTTCAATCTAACTTAGTTTTTAGTGTGGTATTTTGTGGGTTAGGGTTTTTTGATTTTTATGGAGCATTTTTTTGTCCTGAACAGGATTCAACTGATGCAATTGTGTGTGTGGCTAGTGGTTTTTTTGCTTTTGTTGAATTTGGTGTTTATCATTCCAGGTGTAATTGACCGATGGGAATTAATCCAGGCTCAAGCTCTAAGCAAGGAGCTGAGGATGAAGCAGAACCTTCAGCAATGGCAGCAGTTTAACTCCGACCTTAATAGCATTTGGGCTTGGTTGGGAGAAACTGAAGAGGAACTGGAGAAGCTCCGCCGCCTTGATCTCAGCACTGACATACAAACTATTGAGCTCAGAATTAAAAAACTGAAAGTGAGTTTTATTTCTCTTTTCCATGAGTTACCTTGTAAACAGACCTGAGTGCAACAGGTATGTTGAAGAGGTTGCCAATAGTTGCAGCTGCTTTGCTCCATTCCACACACAGCGGGCTACTGCTCATAACTGAAGTAACTGGGAAAGTGATTTTGTGAATCACCTTTTGGCAGAAAAATGTACCACTGGCATTTACTATATAACCCAAATGAATTTTTGAAATAGTAATTCTGTGGCAATTCTATAATTCCAGAACATACAGATAATTCCTGATGTCAGCCAAGCTGATGGGGGGGAAAAAAAAAAAAAGCCAAGTTAAATCAAGTTTCTTCTAGTCAAACTGGTAACAAAATAGCTGCTTTAAAAGAAATGCCTTACTAGGACGTATTACTTTGGGTGGAGGAAGGAGAGAGTGCCCAAAGGGGTTGTAGCCTACCCACTGCTGTCACCAGTACAACATAGGAAAAATTTGGTGTAACTTTGCAACATTCCTGTTCCTTCTTCTGTCACCTCAGTTGCATCAAGATCTGAATGCTGCCCTTGTGCGCTCTTCTGGATATTTTACAGCTATAAAGATCTGCAAATGTGATGGTCCATAACTTCACATTCATTACTAGCATCTTATAAGCTTGGGCATAAAAATGTGGGAGTCAATGTCAAAATGCACTGTGCTCTATGCTAGGAATGAGGTGGACAGATAGTAAAGACTGTTTCCGGCAGTGATCCGTCTAAAGCATATTAATGCTGATCTTCGCTGGAATCCGAATATAGCTGCCATAAGTACTACAAAGGTCACTGTGACATGGGGCTTTTAAGTAAATGCTGTAAAGTAGGTGGAAAAGGGGGCATTTCATAAGAATTCTGTTCTTACCTCACCCGCTCTTGGAAAGCACATTAGTGCCCTCTAAACCAAAAGAGGTGGGGTTTCTTTTGTGGCTTCCAATGTAAACAAATCAGAGTTTTTATACACGTCCTGCTTCTATAAATTGGAGTAAGCTGTTTATACTCTTTGTGTGTTTTCTTTTCCCTCAGTAAAAGCTTTTATTTTAAAATACTGTTGACAGCAGTTTCCACTTGAAAACATGTTGGTTTTTATGTCTATCAGCAAAACTGAGAAGTGAGGGCAAAAGTTTTATTGTGAGCTAAAGTACAATTGTCCTACGTCTCTTTAAATTTTGTTGGGCCTGCTCTGTCTTTAAAATATCTGAAACATGAGCCAGATCTTTAAAATTCAACTATGACTTCAGGCTTTTAAGATTTTACAAGTTTAATTGGCTTGTTCTAGTTTATGCTCACAATAAAATTTTAGTAGATGTTAAAGAGTGAACATTTGCAGAGTCACAGAGTGAGCACAGAAATCTCATATCCAGAGTAAAGAGACTGTTTCAGTAAGGTACCATTCTGCAGTTGCTGATGGCAAATCATTGCATTCTTGTGGTGCCTTCTCTGCTTGGTTCTTCTGAAAGTCACATGTTTTACCGATTTCCATCCTTTCTTCCCCCGTCCCACTTTGTCTTATCATCAAGGAGCTGCAGAAAGCAATTGATAACCGCAAAGCAATCATCTTATCCATCAACCTGTGCAGCTCAGAGTTCACTCAGTCTGACAGCGAAGAGAGCAAGAAGCTTCAAGGGCGCCTGTCTCAGATGAATGTGCGCTGGGACCATGTATGCAGTATGATCGAAGAGTGGCGCTGCTCATTGCAGGATGCATTAATGCAGTGCCAGGTCTGTATTGCGCTTATTTTAAATTGTCAGCATCCCACATATCAAAAATGTAAACCATACAGTTATCTGGTGTGCTCATTATACAGTCTGAAAGTTGCTCGTGCAAGCCAAAATACAGCTTTGGCATGTGTTATCTGAAAGATACACTTGCACTATCTGAAGTATGTATTTCCAGCCCAAGATTTTCTAAATTTGTCATCTCTGGAATAATAGTCTAATATACTATTCTACACTTCATTGTAAGTTACGTTATTTAGCCAGTAGAACCTATCATAGCAAAAACTGAAAACCTGAATTTGACTGGAATTCTCTTCTACGCTATTAAAATCATTACTCATCACTTGCAGGATTTCCATGAAGTGAGCCATGGTTTGCTGCTTTGGTTAGAGAATATTGACAGAAGGAAAAATGAGATTGTGCCCGTTAATCCGAACCTGGACTCAGAAACACTGCAGGATCATCACAGACTTCTAATGGTAGGGCTATAATCACCCCTTTCTCTCCCAACACACATCATCAGAAAAACACCTAATCAGATTTATCTTTCTCTCGAGGGTTAACATTGTACATTGCATGCTAACGCAGCTGTGGGATCAATGTCAGTAACTAACTTTACTTTGCAGGGAACACTACTCACTTCTGCTCGTAGCATAATTCATGATTCAGAATCTCAGGCAACCACTAGGCTGCTGTCTATCTTCCTGTCAGATTAAAAATTTTTATTGCTTCTCTTTTCTTTCCATTTCATTAATTTCAAATGTCCAGTTTTGCGAGTTCTAGCTTTTTTCCTTTTTTTTTTTTTTTTTTTTTTAACTTCCATTAAAAAAATCTGATGCTTGCCTTGGCAACAGCAAATCAGACGTGAACTGCTGGAGTCTCAGTTGAAGGTGGCGTCACTGCAAGATATGTCCTGCCAATTGCTAGTAAATGCTGAAGGCAAGGACTGTCTTGAAGCCAAAGAAAAGGTGCATGTCATTGGAAACAGACTGAAGCTCCTTTTGAAAGAGGTCACACGTCATATTAAAGACCTAGAGAAAATTCTAGACATTTCAAGTAGTCAACTGGTAAGTCATGTCTTTTTATTCCTTGCTGTTTGTTGGGCACACATTTCCCACTGTTTTGACTTGTCTTTCTCTGATCAGTGCTGTTGGTTGCAGTTTCTGTTGTTTGCAATACCTATCAAGATGGTACTCATGTAATCTTGAGTATCATAAAATAGTCTTACACTTCATAATACAAACACCTCTTTTGTGATATGGTGGGGGTTTTTAATCCAGTAATTTTTTGCTGTTTGGTCTAGCAATAAGTATTGAACATCTCGGTTTGTTTATCCTGCCATTACTGATTCAGTCAACTGGCAAAGTATACGAGATAATTATTCTGGTTGCAGTACTGAAAATTATAGTGTGTCAGTTGTTACTGGAAAGGAAGATAATGCTCACTCTGTCGAAGGGGGGGGCGGGGGGAAGCCTAAAATAAATTCTGTAATAGGCTAACAAATCTCTCATAGTGCCTTCTGAGCCTTGAGCTGTACTCCAAATCTTTTCAAATTATCATGTATCTCAGGGTATTTGAGAGGGAGCTATGCATACATCTTCGCCAACAGTGGCAGGTATAAAGTAAAGACTTCAAGGTTCTCCTCTTGGATTAGCAGAGTGTATAAGGCAGGAGAACGGAGCTTTTCCCTCCTTCTAGTGAATTTCTGCCTGTTTCAGTAAAATCTTGGTGGTACCAACCTCTTCTTGTAATTAAAAGCCAATAAAGAGCAACTGGTATTTCCCCTGTATTGACTTTGGCACCTAAAGTAATTAAGTTTTAAGTATCTGTTTGCCTTTCTTTTTCTTCAGGGCTAACAGAGAAAACATGTAATGCCTTAGTCTTATAAAATTTGGTTACAAAATCTAACTGCTTTATTTTATTTGCTTTAGAAATAACTCTGCTGGGATTTCACTCGGGTTTTTTTTTTTTTTAGTTTGCTTACCTGAACAGCTAGTTGCTGTATTTCTGAGCTCCATTCTTTCTGAATTTTAGGAATTGTCCTCATGGTCCTCTGCTGATGAATTAGACACATCAGGCTCAGTGAGTCCTGTATCTGGAAGAAGCACTCCAAGCAGACAGAGAACGGTAATTTCATGTCATATATTTTCTGCCACCTCCTGGGTGGGAGCTCTAGATGTCTACAGTACCTCTAGCCAGCTGGAAGGCCCCCCTTCTCACTTGATAGGAAAGGAAATGGCATAAACCAAGAACAAAACACAGCTGCTTTCCCCAACCCTGCTGCCTATCCCATCCTGCATGAAATCAGAAGCGGTAAATACTATCTAAAACCAGGGCTGTCAGTGTGGTTGGTTTACCATGGTATGGCATGTCGTGTCTCTTGTATTTTGCTCTAGTGATGGCAGCACCTCAAAGTCTGGTCTTGTCTGGTATAATCAGTCCTCCATTTCTGTTTGGCCTTCTCTTCGGAGCTGCTTCATCAAGAATCTCAATAAGGTTTTTTTGTCATTTCTGATGAAGGTTGCAGATGGTCTTATTGAGACTTTGGATGAATGGCTAAGTAGAGTTGAAGGGCATAAAACATTATTCGAAACAGTTAGTTGCACAGGACCTAATCAATGGCTATGACGGCAACTCTGGAGTTGTCTGTTTACATCGCTGGCACAAAATTCAAGAAATATAGCAATACATGCCTAGTACTTAACACTTCCATACTCTGAGCCCAAAATGGAACTGCAATTATTTTGTTTTTTTCTGCAATTGGTTTATTACTTTGCTTTTTTCTTTAGTTCTTAAAACAGTCAGGTTGGTTTTGGTTTTTTTTTTTTCCATTTGCAGTTTTTGTAAAGCCTCTGAGTTCTGTCTTGATAGATTTTATGGCTCTTGAAAATGATTTTTTTTTTTTTTTTTTTTTTTTTTGCATTCACTAGTTTCCTTTTAGATGCTAGTATAAGAATGTAAAGGAATACTGGCTTTTCAAAAGGAGAAAAAATATAAACCTCAACATTTTATTTCAGAGGTCAATGCTTTTATCTTTTAAATTTAAACTTAAATAACTAATAAAAGTGCTGATATCACAGACGTAATTGGAGGATGCCTGACCATTACAGGAAAGGGAGAAGTATTTTACCATAAAGTCTTTGTCTAAAGACTATATAGAATTGTAATAGGTTTCATCTTAACTTTTTAATACGCATATGTCTCTCTCTAATTTGTTAGTGTTCATATACGTGACTACTTTTTTATCATTTTTGTCCATAATGTATAGCTAAGTTGTATGATTCCTTGGGGTCTGGTTTTCAAACTTCTGGTTTTTGCACCCACAATCTTGGAGACTGAAGTGACGTCGGGTAGAATTTCAGTGCCAAATACACTGATGGTAAATAACTAAATACTAATACCAAAAATGCAATCAGAATTATAATCATCTAACTGCGTTAAATATTCCAGCAAATAGTTGTTAGTTCAGGAATGCACCTACAGTTATTTGGCCTTCAAAATTGTGGGGGTACGGGGGTGGAGAAGAGGCCAGACTCATCAAAGGAGGCCCTTGGAGCTTTTTTCCTTGAGAATATTAATTTTGCTGCATTTGCATTTTGAAATATCTGTATGTGCCCATATTCAACGCAATCATTTTTCTATTTCATATTACAAATTATTTAAGCTAAATTTCTAGTGATTTTTTTTAAATCCAGAGCTACTGTTCATAAACATAGTGACTAAACTGTTATTTTCGAGTTCACTGTGTATGTTCCAATCATTTCCATACTCAGCTAGACGCAAAGAAAAGCCAGTTTCCTTGGTTCATGGGTATTGGTCATTTCATTTGATTTTTTTATGTTTCCTTTGCTGCACTTTTAATTTAGTTTCATCAGTAGCTTGTCTTTATTTGCCTGGACTGAACATTCTTCTTTCTTTACCCCCTGTTCATTGCAAACAGCCACGGGGCAAATGTAGTCTCTCACAGCCTGGACCCTCTGTCAGCAGTCCACATAGCAGGTACCTTATTCTCCTGGTTTCCGCACTCTGTTCTAGAACCCCAAGAGGATGATGGAAATTGGCCGTGATTCCTCTCTGTCCGCACCGACTCCATCAGGTGGCCAGGACTTAAACAAGTGAAAATTCCCCTTTTGTTAATAGTTTGGCAAAAGGAGCTCTCAATTACTTCAAATTCTTTGTTAAATAGAAATACCGGCTAATCCTTGAACATCTGCAGCTTTTGCTTCCCGGGAATGCCATGTAGTCAACATTTATTTTTCATATGCCTGATCAGGGTGAGTGTGTGTTTACACTCATGATATTTAGTGATTATTTTATTTTGACATGATTTAACAGAAATGCCAGTAGGTTCATGGCAAACACTTTTTATCATCCTCTTTACCTCTAGATATTAAATTAAGGCAGGTAATAGGCCAATACCATATTCTAGAATTCACAAAACCCACAGATCTGGATGAAACATACTAACATCCTTTTCTTTCTCCCCCCGTCCTCCCCCGCCCCCCGGAAATGTTTTGTTCAGTTTGTGGGTTTTCAGTACTTAAGACTCAAAATTAAAAGTCAGAATTTGAGGGTTTTGAGACTTGGGGTCACTTTCTCTCCCCTCCTAAGACGGCTGCAACATAACGTGCTAACATTGCCATGACTCTTGCCAAGTGCTTGCATCCATGTATTGCTCTGGGAGCAGCACTGCCCCATCTCTCTCTGACCAGTAGAGAGCAGGCTTGCAGCTACAGCTTTTTGCTTTCCATCTTGTCTCCGGCAACCTGTCATCTCTGCAGCTAACAGTGCTTCTGCATTCTTTGTTGTTGTCAGTGTGATGTGTGTACCTTCACTCTTTCACTGATCAGTTCACTAGCCTCTAGAGGTATGAAGTTAAAAAAACAAAAAAGTAAATGAGCCGGCCAATATGTATAAAGAGGATGTCTTTTGCTATTTCAGCATCTTATGCGTTGCAACACCTAAAATAATCAAAAGCATGATGAAAATATATTCGTTCTTATAGTTAAGTCCTAAATCTCATTTATTCTCTATATATCGAAAATTAACTAATTCATTTTTAAAATAACTCCTGTTAAAGTGAAAGATTTGATGTTGAAAGGAGGCAACAGTAGATTTAATACAGTGACTGAGCAATAACCAAGCAGACAAAAAATACCTGAAGAGTATTTTTTTTTTTCATGAGCAAAATCAAGGCTTTATTCAGCAAAATTATTCTCAAATATAAATGAAATGAAGACTAAAACTACTTACCATGTAGATATTTACATAAAGACTTCTTAAACAAAAAGTTTGCTTTATATGTGTAGTTAGTGACTGTGAGTAAAGCGGCATAGTTGCAAAATCACATAGCATAGCAATTAGAACAGATAGAGTATCTTTCACTGCTTCCACTGGCACTAAGAAGCTGCCTTATTTTTAGGGATTTTTTTTTTTTTTTCTTTGAAACATAAGGAAACCCCATAGAAAATAGGCAACATATGTACACTCCACCTTTCTGTCTGATGGAGAAAGAGAATTAATTTTTCCAACTCCAGTCTGCTATGAAGCTTGGCATTTTGTTTCTTATAGGGAGTGGGAAAAGGGAGGAGCGGGGCTTTACTCTGCAGCCATTAACAGCTAGGAGGAATGGAGGATGTCTTTGGCAGATCAGCATGCTTGCACTAGCAACGTTGTACTCAAGAAACATATTGTGTGTGCTCTTCCGCTCTCCTGTATAGTCAGACCACTTCTGCCAACCTTTTGAGAAGGTTTCTGGTTGTAGGTGTGAGCCTCTAGCTCAAAGAGCAGCTAGCAGTACTTTGCAGCTTTGAGATCAACCTCTATTCTAGCAGTGGCATTGGTGCGGCACTTTTCAGATCAAGTCTTTCCAGCACTGTTTATTAACACATCTTGTAGCAGTACAACACAATGTTCAATTTGTCATTCAGACAAGCATGGAATACAAATGAGTCACTGCTGAATAGGAAACTTAATCAAATGCGCAAGCCAGACAGGTTGTGGTTGTGTATAATGTGGTTTTAACTGATAAAGCGGTACAAGCTGTCACTGTGTTCTTTAATATTTTGACATGCCTCTGATCAGAGTACTTTGTGTTTGATCTTGCACTGGATCAGCAAACCCTGTTAGAGTTTAGTATGCAGGAGAACTAAAGTAAATTTTAAAAGGTTTATCACATAGAAGGTTGTGAAGGAAAGTTCATTTAAAAATTAGAGGATGTATAACAAGTGTGATACCACTTTGCCTTCCCCATAATCACAGCAAAAAGCCAAGCATACATAGTGTGATGCTAAGCAAGGTACAAACTTAAACTGGACGTTACATTGTGGATTTGACTAAAGGCTCATTCAAGAGGTGTTAGTAATTGTGTGCTAAGTGGGAAAAGCAAATCCAGGAAGCAACTTCTCGTTCTTCATCAGTTTAATAGAGCTGTCATAAATGCACACCTGGATCTGTGCCTGTGGATTTTTTTGAAGTGATTAAAATGTTAAAAAGATTAAAATAGTGGTTCAATTTGCTCAGGGGTGTTTACATTGTCTCCCTTGAGCAGCTCTATTCAAGTCTTGGTGCCACAGAGCCAACCTCCATTTCCTGCTCTCCCCAAGCCTCCCCAAATGACTAGTGGATCTTTAAAGGTCACTGGCTGTTCCCGGAGCAGACCAGGCCAGAGCACTCTCTGTGCCTTTGGCCACAAAATAGCAGTCGTTGCCATGCGGTAGCTCAAACACGAGGTTTGGGCTTGACTTGCCATCGTTCTTCTCCCAGTTATCTCCCACACTCTCACTTAGAGCTTGTTACTTAAACTTCATATTTAACTGCTTTTGAAATGGACGTATTCATCTTCTTTACAGGGTAAGCCAAATCTGAGGTTGATGTGATGCTGAGAGCTAGGGAGAGAATCAAAGTCAGAACACAGCCAAACAAGGGCATTCCTAGAGAGTCTCTTAGGCCACCAAGAGGAGTCGTTGCCTGCTTTTGTGGGCAGAGCATCACACCTTCTCCTTCATAACTCTGGCAACCTCCATCTTAAAAAATTAGAATCAGTAGGAACAAAAACTCTATTAGAAGGTCGTTATCAGATTTAATTTCTCTGATTATCTGGAAGTACAATAATTTCCACCTTGACTATATCCATGGTTAGTAGTAATTTGGTTTTGTGCCAACATTATCCCTTCCTTCACTTCAACAACTGTTCACCTTTCTGTCTGTCTGTTCTGCACTGTTTTATAGAGGGTAGTTTTAGTATCTCTCAGGTTTTATATTGATAAGCTCAGCTATTTATTTCCTTCATAGGAGAAATACTCCATTTTTTTGACTCCTTTAAGCTTGTGTAAGTTTGAGTTCATCTTTCAGAAGTATGTTAACAAAAATGATACAAACTGCTCCAGGTGAGATCTGACTAGTGCCTTATAGAACATCATTAAAACAATGTTTTAATTTTCTTTTCTCTTCTGGAAATCTGGAACTGAAATATATTTTAAAATTTCTTTTGTCCCTTTTCACAGCTATTCACAAGCCACATTATTGGTTTGTGGCCATCCTGTGTTAAACACATCTAGATTCTCTTCATTATCTTCAGAGTGTGAACTTCCAAATTCATAGCAGAAGTTTTTATTGCTACCTTACATACTATAATCTTAAACTCCTCGAGCTACTTCTTAAACCTATTGGATTCAGACACTTTTTTCTGTACAAGAAGGCAATCCTATTTTGTATTTGCAAAGACTTCCAACATCTGTCATCATACAGATGAAATTTGCTGTTCTTATATTTTGTGCCATAGTCTTTTCATAAAGATATTAAATCAAGACTCATCCTTTATGAACTCCAGTAATAACATCCTACTAGCCCAGCAGTGCCTCTTTCAATGTAAGCCTGTTGTCTGCATTCCATTAGTCACTTCCCCATTAAACTCTATTTATTCCTATCAGCTTCACTTGAATGATAAATTCTTCTGTTATAATCTTTCAGATGTTTACTGCAATACAGATAGATTACTTGAACCATATTTTCCTTGCAAAAAAAAATCAGTCATCTTTAAAAGAAGGTACTCATCTGAGCTGAAATTAAAGTTCACTTTGCCCGTCCAATCTATAGCCTGGTAAATTAGCTTCTCGTCTCTTGAAATGCTTAGGCAAGAGTTCCAATTTCACTGACATTACAAACTCCCAAAGTAAGGGTAACTATTGCTTGCAGTTCTTAGGTTAATTTATGAGATCTCTTGACATGAAGAAACTTACTGTTGGCCAGGTCTGCAGCTGTGCCTCCCCCTTTTATCTAGTTAGTAGGAATTGTGCATGAAGCGAGTAGCAGACGGCCTTACTTCCTTCCCTCCTCAAACAGGGCCCAGTGTGACAAATGGTGGAGCAGTCAGAAGAGAGACAGCTAAAGATGCAAGCTCAAGAAAAAGAAATTACATTTTTCTCCAAAGTGGCACGCAGTACTTCAGCTTTCCCTTCTCCTGTTGCAGTAAATAGGAGTTCTGGCCCTTATGAATAGTGAGCCTTTTTTATTAACAATGTGTATTTTTAACTATCTCTCCTTACCAAATCCACTAAACACTCTAAGCTGAGCCATTCCGTTTTTCAGCCAATTCTGTAGATTACAGAGGCGTACTTGCAATAAACACAGGCAGTACAACACTCGAACTTTTTAGAACTCCCCCTCTGAAGATGTTTTCATAATGTTTTATTATTTGCTCGTTTAATTGTTTCCATGCAGTATTAGAAACTATTCTTCAACACGCTACTTCACTGCAGAAAAAGTGTTTTGAAAAACTTTGCCATGAACTGTTTTAATTTTTGAAAGAAAGTTTATGTTCCTTATTGAGATCATCCATGCAGCTTACACATTCCACTCTTTTTCTTCTTTTTTTTGGTAAAACATAAAGCAAAAAGTGCTGGATTGTGCTACTGAAGCCATAGGAAAAGAAAAGAAAAATTAGATGCTAACTTTGCCTGCTCCCTTTTGATTCCGCTTTTTGGAAATTCCCCTTCTGCCAACCAGTGTTGCCCCAGAGTAACTCTGAGTTAATGAAGAAAATTCAGACTTTGCTCGTTATCAAAGAGTAGTTACCAACTGCAGAAATATGGCCTGTTTTGATTGGGATTAACATTTGTACAATGAGAGCCTAGGTAGACTATGCAATCAAATGCTTGGAAGGTAATTAAGCACTCCTTGTTCCCTTTGTTCCTACTTCAGTCCATTAACTTTCTGTTTTGGCATTCTCGGACAGTAGAAGTCTTGATCTAATTGAACTTTAATATGGAATGCTCTGATGTTGTTAAATGTGCCATATCCTTTCAGTATCTTTATAATACGTGATCTTACATTATGCGATAAGCAGCTTTCCATGTGGGCTACAACGTGGATTCAAAAAACACGCGATCTGATGTTTTGATCACCGCTCCTTCCTGGGATATTTAGGTCAAGTTAATCATTTAGCATACCTGAATGTTTATGTATCTGTTGGTCATCTAAACTTTACCAAATCTGTCTGGCTTTCTTAAGGTCTTCATAGTGGGATGATACACATATATGAACAAGACAATAAAAATAATCTCAAGCATAGAAAGAATTCTTTTCTGAATATGTGGGAAGGGGACCCACAAAACTGGCATAGTTTTGAAGATGGTATTTTGGGGTTTTGCATGCTTTCTCACACAGATTCAGGTTTATCTGGGAGACAGGATCAAAAGGACAAGGGGAAGGCAAGGAGACACTAAGTAGCCATCGCCCCCTACTTGCTTTACTGGGGAGCATTTGACCTCAGCCAACAAGCCTGATCTCCCACACCTTCAAGTTGAGACTAAATCCATCCTTACGAGCATTTTTATCTCTTAAACCCTAAGCAAACCATAGATTTTCTGGGGCTTCATAATCATAGCAGCCACACGGATGTTTTATAGCAACATGTCGATGACAAACTTCATGACCTAATGTCTTAATGGAACTGTTCTTGAAGCAAATTATTTGAAGGCTCTAAGTTCTTCCATTTTTGGCTAGTGCTAAAATACAATACTTTCCCATACCATTTAATTAGCACACTGAGACCATCAGATTTCAACTTGCATAATGACTCTTTTCAGTCATCCACTTATCTCAAAACCTGTTGTCCGTATATTAGAGCTCTGATAGTTTCAGTCAAAAAGGAAAATGTGAAATCTATGTCTTTATCCTTCATTAAAAAATAGATTGAAATAGATTGGATTTTTGTGCCTAATTTGAAGTGTCCCTTCGGAAAGGTTTGCATTAGGTCTCGCCTCTCCCATAGACATGTGATAGATCTGTGCTGTTTCAAGTCAGATCCATAGACACCAGGGAGAAAATCACTCAGAAGGTGATGGTATCAAGTCAGTTGAGCAAATAGATTTTAACTGCTGATTCAGTGCAAGCTTCAAAATACAATGTACTTTGTAGAAAATGAGTCCCTGTTGCCTGCATATTGGTGTATGTATTAAGTGAAGATTGACGTACCTGAATCTTAATGCATTATACCCTTGTGGATACTATATACAGAAATGAATGTAGAAACTTCTGTAAACCAAATGCGACTGCCATTTTAAATGAGGAGGCTTCCTTTTTAGACAGTGTACGTTGAACACATGTGGCAGGTATGGCCCACCTTTTATTTTCCCCTTCTCTAGAGCACAGTGCTTTAAGTGGAGAGTCTTTCCCATAATTGACGAAGGGGCTGTGGAGTCGCAAAGCCCATTCTATTGTGATCATTTGGTGTTTCCTACCCAGACTAGAAATACGGGGTCTCTTAAGAGTGTTAGGGAAATAGCATGTTCAGTGAAAAATACCTCTGCAGTTGTCAATCAAAGTCTGTACAAATTCTAAACCAGCCTTCAGGGAAGCCTGAGTGCCCGAGGGCAATCTCTGCTGCAGTAATGTTTTAGTGTATTCACCTATCCGTCCTCTTTTCTCAGGTCCACAAGAGGTGGCTCAGGTTCCTCCCCTTCTAAGGCCGGGCCGGCGTGGCAGCGCCCGTCCTTCTTCCTCAGAGTCCTCAGAGCTGCTCTGCCACTTCAGCTCCTCTTGCTGCTCCTGATCGGGCTGGCTTGCCTGGTGCCAATGACTGAGGAGGACTACAGCTGTACTATGGCCAACAACTTTGCCCGCTCTTTCCACCCCATGCTAAAATACATGAATGGTCCACCTCCATTGTGAAGGAGACCTGTGAGACAGTGGGTGACCTTGCTGGAGTGCTAGCTGGGAGGCAGGATGGTTTTAAAGGGTGACAGGATTCAGTGTGGCAGCTTTACTTACCTGCTATAGGCACCGCTGTGTCCATAATCGTTCTCTGCTGGCACTCAGCTAGTAACGCATCAGTATATCAGTACCAAACTGCACAACGTATTACCTGAGTAGCATCGTTTCAATACTCGCATCCTGGGTACTAAGGAGGATGTGATGCGTGTGAGGGAAATGTCCTTCTGTCCAGCATTCTGGATCTCTTAGCCACTTTATATCCAGGTCATTGCCCTGTACTATGCATAGCCAAGGACTTGATACTGTAGATCCTTTCCTGTGTGCTGCTCTAAATGAGCCGTTAGCCAGTCTTTGTTAAATACCCTCTCAGTATCTACAGTATACAAAATAACCAATGCTAAAGAAATTTTAGAGCATTTGTAACATACAATTTTAAAGGATCTTGTATGGCAATGTGTTATTCCCTGTGGTTTCTGTTTCGGGCATGGTGTTCTAACTTTTGCTTTGGATGCACAAGGTGTAAATCCCAAAAGCACTTTTTTAAGGATTAAAAAAATGGATGTAACAAATAAGATCGTAAAAGGTTTTATGAGGAAAAATGTTGAATGTCAAGTTGAAAAACAAAGAACATATTTATGTATGTACAGTTTGCTAAGCCAAGTTTTGTTTGTATTGATTTCTTTGCATTTATTATAGATACCATAAAATATTTTGTCTACGTGCTTTTTAATGACAACTATGGAAACTCTAAGTTTAGAATGAGATATGTATGGTATAAAAAAATTAGAAGACATACATATGCTGCACTTCTAAAAAGAATTAAAAAATGCTGTAACAAATTAACGGTATTAGGTATATGTTTGAATGAGAAGATCTGGAAAACTTGACAAATGTTTAAAATACATGGCAAAGGATCATGTCAGAAGTTGTGCTAATATTGAGAGCTGTCTGTATTTTGAATTAATGATTGGTCATTTCAGTTTGTGTTTTTTCTCAAGCTGCTTCTTGAACTTCATTCTCACCCATGTGTTGTTTCTGTGTGTGTGTGTGTGTGTGTTTACATATGCACTCATGTGCAACCTTTGGCAATTGAGGTTGTACCAGTCCACACTGAAGCAGATTTTTTCCTGTGGGTGTACTGGAAACTTCTTAATAATTCTCCATAACAGCTTAATACCAATATATATGTTTATGCTTTACCAATATTTCATCTAGTGGAATATGCCCAAAACACAAGCACAAATAGCAGAAAAACAGAGCAGATTGAAAACTCATAAATTTTCTAGAAATATTGCAGAAAACTTGCAGTCTGAGCAGTGGCAGACACTTTGCCCAGCTTATCAGTCAGAACTCGACCAAAACAGGATTCTTTTCAATTTTGAAAAAATACAGAGCATGGCTCTAAGTTACTGCTCTTTAATAAGTTTGGGGTTTTTTAAGCCATGACACACAATGTGAATTTTTCCTGTGTGTTAAGTGTTTTTACTTAGAATATATTGGCCTACGTAACGGAAATAAAAAAGCCAGAAGAAAACACAAGCACGTTAATTGCTGTTACGTAGGATTACTTTTCTGGGATGTCATCATTTGAGCTGGTGTGAGGGGAGGGTGGTCAGAGGTAGAGTACCACAAGCTGAACTCCAGCATTTGGAGGAGCCAAAATAAAGCTTCCTTTCCAGCTAAGTGTAACGTTAACATTTTTCTGAAAAGGATTTTGTATGTCAACAAAGTATCTTCAATGTCTGAGACCCAGACTTGGACTGACACAAGTATGTATTCTTTTCAAGGCATTGTTTCTTTCATTGGTATTCAGAAGTTATGCTAGGCTAGATTAGTATCCATAATCACTGATTCTGAGTAGACAAAGATAAGGAATACACTTTCGGGGTACAAGGATGAGCTGTTACTTGCAACGGGCCTGACAGATTCAGTAAAATTGACCTCTCCTCTCTTTTCTGATATCGTTCGCTTTGGTGACATAATTTAGTCAATGGTAATCAGCGCACCTACATAGATAATTCGGTAGTTCGCTCAGACCTCTTAGTCCAGATCTTTGCATGCTTTAGACATCCTTTCATCAGTGAGTCCCTGTTTTTGGTGGTTAATTTTTTGTTGAAAGGTATTTTTGTTTTCTTTTAAAAGAAAACATTGTAAAGAGTAAAAAGACTAATTTAGTGAGAAATAAGGATCTCAGCCTGACTTTGTCTCCTATTTTCCAGCCAACTATTGGTGATCCCATGGAAGTAGATGTTATCTAAATGGTAGTAGATAGCCTGTGAGTATCAACCTATGGAAGAGCAGTCTGTTGAAGGAACCAGGCAAAAAGTCACAGGTGAGACCTGTATTCATTTCTTATACTATTTAAAAACTGAAGGAGAGGCAGGGAGGTTTGAAAGCAGTTGGTTAGGAGAGAGAGGGGATTGCAAGAAAGAGGATTCAGTCTGAATGATGTCAGGTGCAATTAAGAAAGTACTTTATCAAAAGTATGCAGGGTAGCACCTGGCATGCTTTGAATTGCAACCTGACATTTGAATTTTGCCAGTTATTTTGCCACTCTGTAGCCCCTGCTTCCCTGATGCATTCTTTGAATGCCTTCCCCACTTCCCTGATGCCTAGGGAAGAATAGCCTGTCTTCTGCAGAAGGAAAGCAGAATTTGTACACATCACTCAAGCTCCCAGGGGAATTTTGGGGAGCAGTCACTAAAATGAAGTGGTGGGGGGCAATAGTTCCATCTTGTTCACGGTGGTCATGCCCTTTTATTTTCTCTCACCTCTTGAAACTTTCAGTCGGGAGAGTATGAGAAAGTGATGAACTGCCAGAGAAGTGGAGGTTAAGCTGATTAAATAGGCAGGAGAAAACTGATATGAAATCATAGGAACTTTTCACAATTAATTCCTTAAATAGAGTTAGGGCTAAGGGGGAAAAGAAGTGATGATAATTAAAGAATTTGGAAGGTCGCATCATCAAGTGTCAGTAGCCCTTTCGAATTCAGCGCATTTTTGGCTGATGATTACCTGCAGGGCATACAGGCACTGTCTCACCTCTGCCTTGCTGATGAACCGGAGGGCAGAGTGTACCTACTATGCCTTGCTTCCTTTCAGGTGTTTCAAAGCAAAGCTTCTTCTGTTCATAGCCTCAAGCTCTGAGCTCTGGTCATAGAGCTAACTATAGTTTCAATGTACTGCCTGTTAATTTGAAAGAGAAGTTAGATACAGAGAACTTTCTTTTGACCCCGAGTGATCTGCTCACACAGAGCAATCCTCCCAGTAAACAGCACATTCTCTACAATACCTGCGAGTAAGGCAGTCAGAGACAGTGATAGACACACATTAGGAAAATGTCACAGACGGGAAGAATGCCTGTTTGTAAATCCTAAATCTCCCGTACCTTCAAGAATAGGAATGTCAGTCTGTAAGCTGATGTCTCAAGGGGATCGCAGGCAGTTTGTGCCAGCAGGTTAGAGGATCCCTTGAGTGCCACTTTGGACTTGTTACTTTTGGGACTTTCTATCTCAACTCTGGACAAATTCAACATCTGACCAGTTAAAATGGTTTGAGCAATAGGCTCCTCCAAAAGGAATTTCCTGGCCCTGAACCAATTCCATTATGACTTCAAATGTGATTTTGCAGAACTGGATCTTGATCCTAAAAACCGACACACAGAAGTCAAAATGGAAACAAATGGCCAGGCACTTCACAGGCTCCTGTTAAAGCAAGCCAAGAGCACCAGTGACTTGAGGGTCTAGCTTGAGTTGCAAACCCCAGTGCGACATCAACATATGCATTGACCGCCACAGCATGAACCAGGGTAAATGGGGCAACTGTAGGGGGGGAAAAACCACACCCAGCAAGCTGTCAAGCATTGCAGCCAGTGGCACTAGCCAGCTTTGCAGCCTGGACATCTTTCTCATCCTGATAATGTCAAACTGCTGTCTATACCTACCTCTGCCTCATTGGGATGCTGTCACAGGGGACTTGGGTGTGGACAAACTTTTTAAGAAATGTACAAGTTAGAGTCTGAGATGCCCTGTCTCTGTGCTAAACCTGCAACCCATCATCTACCCTCTTTCTGAAGCACCTCACCTACTTGGATTCTGCAAATATGAGGGACTGATTTCTGGTAATGTGCCTTGAGCCTTGGCTGCAAGGCATGAGGAAAGGCAGTACAGGAGCTGCAGAACTCTGGGTCTGTGTTGAAGGCACGCATAGAGAAAGTAGACTCTGCATCTTGGGGAACTCCAGTCATTATTGCATTATATTTTTCCCCATTTTCTACTGTAGGTAGATGCAGTAGTTGCTGTAGAGGTAATCATCCCCGCAGCTTGATGCATCTTGCAACTCTGAACCCTGCTTATTGGACTGTAGTCACCTCATAACTACTGCGTGTTTAAAGGCATAATGGAAACTGGTTGCTCAGCAACTCCAGACTGTGTGGTAAGATCAAGGCACTATCTCATTATGCTTATAATGCTAATAGTGCAAAATAATGAGCACCATTTGCCCTGAACTTACTGCATCAGTTTGTGGAGTTTCGTTTGTGGACCATGCTTTACGAAATCTGAAGGCAGACTGAAAAGTAATATTTAGAGATGTCTGACAATATTAGGAGTACAAATGATCTGAAGCTGACAGAAATAGTGTTGCCTTATTCCTCACAGCTGTGAGCATGATGATACCCACTGCCTATCCCCCACCCTGTTCCAGCAGCGATAACAGCTTTATTCTGCAACAGATCAATAGTTTCTCACCACCCTTCCAGCTCCGCTGCAAATGCTGTGAAAACCTGCGGTCTTGCTTTCTTCTTTCTTGGAACTTTCTCCTACAGCTGGTTATTGAACGAGGACAAAGCTGCTGGGATTGTCTTATGAACAGTCATCCCTGGCCCTCAGTCTTGAGCTATTTGTGGTTGAGAAATCTTTTTACAACTGATAGCAACTCTCAACATGCTCATCATCATGTGCATCTGAGTGCATCTGAGTGCGTGTTCAAAGGCATAAGAGAAACTGGTTGTTCAGTCTTCAGATGCTATCAGGATTTAGCAAGTGTAGGAGGATTCTAGGAAATAAGAGCAGAGTCAAGGAAAAGAAATGCAGATTTTTAAGCAAGAGAAGAAAAGAGCATTGATCTCACTTACTTGCGCTGCCCATATTTTACTGGGTGTTTAAAGCAGTGGATTGTGGAAAGGAAGAGGGCAGGAAATGCCATAGTGAGGTTCGTGTTTAAGCTGGGTGGTCTCGCTATAAAATTGTTCAACTCTTGCAGCAGTCAGTTGCAGAATTCATCTAAACCAGTGTTTGGTTGGGTGGGGTATTGGAGGGAGGGGGTCATTTGTCTTTTGGCTTTGGGGGAAGAATGTGTGTCTTGTATTCACAGAGTACAAAAGGGAACTAGTCTAGGTGCTGGCTGGCTGGTTTTAACCTTGGCAGCAATGTTGTGAAAGGCACTATA